TAGGTATCAAGCCGAGGACTCCCGTCTGGGACGCGCAACCAAGGAGTCCCCACCTGGAGGAAGTCACTGCATCGCCCCAGGGAGATCCCCGCCATTCGGACCCCCGAATGAGCCGAGACGACCTTTCGGGTCACGGCTAAGAAAAAGGTGTTTGCACTAACATAATGGCGCTAGAAGGAGGGCCGGTCCGAATGTCAAGCGATCAACAAGCCCACTCTGACGAACCCCCAACCGTCCGGTCGCACCCGACCGACGCGGCGGAAGAACATCCCCAACAGGAGGGGGTTCGGGACGAGCGCCCCGCTATGATCTCGGAGCGCTATTGGCGATTGTTCAACGATCCGGGACTATCGCCGCCCATCGCCAATCCCGGTGGCCCGTCACCCGTGCCACCCGAAGCCTTCTACGACCTCACACACCAGGTCCGGGCTCTTACGGGAGTGATGCAGACCATCATCCCGCTGGTCTCTCCCCCGACGTCTTCACACTCAACCCTACCTCCACCACGGCAACGGCCCGCCGCTCAGAACCCCGCGCCGCTCCCCGAGTCTCCCGCTTCGCCTCCGGTCCAATCGACCCAACCCGGGAGCCGAGGAGCGGAGGAACCAGCGGCGCACCCGACGCCCGCAGCCCCGCTTTCAGATCCGGCCGAGGGCCTGTGGGCCCAGCTACGTCTCGTAGGCCGCCGACTAGACGAGGTGCAGCGTGAGGTTCGCCGAACCAGGGAAGACCCGAGGGCCGAACAATACCAGGGGTCCCCCTTCACCCCCGAGATTCAAGAGTAAGCAATCCCACCGCATTTTCGGCTCCCTTCATTAGAGGCCTATGAGGGTGCCACTGATCCTGCGGACCACGTGGCCGCTTTCCGCGCCCAAATGGCGCTATACGGGACCTCCGACGCCCTGATGTGCAGGGCGTTCCCGACAACCCTGCGGGGCCCGGCCCGAGCGTGGTACAGCAATCTAAAGACCGCGACCATCGCCTCTTTCGACCAATTGGCCAGGGACTTTGAGCTCAACTTCCTGGCTTATGCCAAGCCGAAACCGTCGGTGGCGATGCTCCTCGGGCTCAACCAGAGGGAGGATGAGCCCCTTTCTCACTTTGTGAACCGCTTCACCGCACAAATCCGCGGGCTGTCTGATGCTCACCCTTCTTTGATGATGCAGGCATTTATGATGGGCCTGCGCCCCACCCAATTCTTTTGGTCTCTGGTGGAACGACCCCCCACTTCGGTCCCCGAAATGTTGCAGCGTGCGAACTAGTACATTGCGGCCGAGGCCTGGATGGTCGGGAAGCGCGACGAGCGCAAGAGGGTCAAGCCAGAGTAGTCCCAACAACAACCGCCTGCTACCTCCCGGCGCAGGGCCGGCGGCCTCAACGATGCGGTACCTAGGTCCCCTCCCCCGGGCCTGAACTCCTCTCGGACCGAAATATTTCTCCATATTAAGGAGAAAGGCCTTCTCAAAGACCCCTACCCGATGAGGAGCCCGCGCGAACTCGCGGACCGCTCTAAATACTGCCGTTTCCACCGGCAGCCCGGCCACGACACCGAGGAATGTCGAGAATTAAAAAGGCAAATTGAGGAGCTCATCCGCCGAGGGCACCTTGGCTCATACCTCCGACCAGATAAAGAGCTCTCGCCACGCCCGGAGGGCCCCATCGAGCGGCACATAGAGGTCATAACTGGCGGGCCGACGTCCGGAGGGAGCTCCATGGCGGGCGGAAGGGCGTACGCCAGGGCCTCCCGAGCTGAAGCTTCCAAACCCGCAAAGGGCCCCGAAGTCACCTTCCCGACCGGGGAACCTGAACCACCCGAACATGATGACGCGTTGGTGATATCAGCCAGAATAGCCAACGCGCAAGTGGGGAGGATCATGGTCGACACTGGGAGCTCGGCCGATATACTTTATTGGGACGCCTTCCAAAAGCTCGGCCTGGTAAAGGAGAACATGAAGCCGGTATGCTCAACACTCACGGGGTTCACCGGCGCCTCGATCTCGTCACTAGGGGTCATCACCCTGCCCCTAACTTTGGGAGTCTTCCCGAAGGCAAAAACGGTGATGACCTCCTTTCTGGTGGTCGACCTCCCCACGGCATACAATGCCATCCTAGGACGGCCAACCCTCAACAAGACCCGAGCCGTCATCTCAACTTACTACCAAACCATCAAGTTCCCAACCCACGATGGGGTAGGGGAAGTGGCGGGGAACTCCTGGGAGTCCAGGCGCTGCTACTTGACCGCTGTGTCATTAAACAAGAGAGCGAGGGTCCAATCCCCGCTGGAAGACCCCCGGGAGGGAAAAAAACCGACCCCCCGCCCCGAGCCGAAGGAATCCACCATTGACCTGCCACTAATTGAAGGAAGGCCCGACCAAACAGTCAAAATCGGGTCGGGATTGCCCGAACAGGAACAACGGCAGCTCGTCGGCCTTCTGCAAGCCAACGCCGACATTTTCGCTTGGACCCCAGCTGACCTAGCGGGAGTCCACCCGGAGGTCGCGCTGCACCACCTGAACATCTCGTCCGACGCCCGCCCGGTGAAACAGAGGCCCAGGCGGCAGGCCCCGGATCGGCAACTGGCCATCCGAGAAGAAGTAAACCGGCTTCTGGCGACCGGTTTCATAGAAGAGGCAAGGTACCCACAGTGGCTCTCCAATGTAGTCCTTGTCAAAAAACCTAATGGAAGCTGGCGGATGTGCGTTGACTACACCAGTCTCAACAATGCTTGCCCAAAAGATTGCTACCCCCTGCCAAAGATCGACCAGCTAGTCGACGCCACGGCCGGCCATGCCCGGCTCTCGTTTATGGACGCCTTCTCCGGGTACAACCAAATCAGGATGGCGCCCGAAGACCAAGAACACACCGCCTTCCTCACCGAGCAAGGGATATATTTTTACAAGGTTATGCCGTTCGGGTTAAAGAATGCCGGAGCAACCTACCAGAGGACAGTGAACAGGATGTTCGCCCACCAGATTGGACGAAACATGGAGGTATATATCGACGACATGATCGTAAAGAGCCGAACGGCGGAGACTCATCCTTCCGACCTGGCTGAAACATTCGACACTCTGCGGAAGTTCGGCCTGCGTCTCAACCCCGCCAAGTGCGCCTTCGGCGTGACCTCGGAAAAATTCCTCGGATTCATCATACACGAGAGAGGGATTGACGCCAACCCGGAAAAGATACAGGCCATTATTAACATGCAGCCTCCTCGGACGATCAGAGACCTGCAGCGCCTTAACGGGAGGCTAGTCGCTTTATCACGTTTTCTCTCCCGATCGGGAGATCGATGCCACCCTTTCTTCCAGGCCCTGAAGGATCCGAAGAACTTCCGATGGACGGCGGAATGCGAAGGGGCCTTCGAACAGATGAAGCTACACCTGGCCAGCCTCCCTCGACTCGCCTCGGTCTCCCCGGGGGAGAAATTGAGTCTTTACCTTGCCGCCTCCCGGCACGCGGTCAGTTCGGTTCTAGTCAAAGAAAACTCTGGCGATCAACTGCCGGTCTACTACGTCAGCCACATGCTGAGCGGGCCAGAAGAACGCTACCCGCCGATCGAAAAGCTAGCGCTGGCACTCGTCCTGTCGGCGCGGAAGCTCCGCCCTTACTTTCAAGCCCACCCGATAGAGGTAATAACTGATCAGCCGCTTCGGCTTGTTCTGTCCAAATTCGACGTTGCAGGGCGTCTCCTCAAATGGGCAGTGGAGCTCGGCGAGCACGACATACAGTACATGCCTCGGACCGCCATCAAAGCCCAGTCCGTGGCAGACTTCATTGCGGAGCTGACCCCGAATACAGGCGAAGAACTCGAGCCACCGCGTGACACGTGGACCCTACACGTAGATGGCTCGGCCAACGCGAAAGGCGCCGGCGCAGGGCTGGTGCTGGTAACACCTGACGGCCGCTCGATTGAGCGCTCCCTCCGCTTCGGGTTCAGGGCCACCAACAACGAGGCAGAATACGAGGCTCTCCTGGCGGGGCTCCAGTTGGCACTGGAAATGCAGGTAACCGACATACGCGTCATCACCGACTCACAGCTGGTGGCTAGGCAACTCGACGGCGAATACGAAGCCCGGGACCCGACTATGGCAAAGTATCTGGCACAGGTAAAAAGCCTTGCCGCCAAGTTCGCCTGTTTTGAATTGTCGAATGTCCCCAGGAGCGAGAACCAGCGAGCCGACACCCTAGCAAAGCTGGCGTCCGGCCCGGCCCCCTGGGCTCGGCCCGAAACCGAAGAACTCCCCCGCCGAGCCATAGAGGTCGTCGCCACCGTCGCTCACGGCACGCCGGCAACTTGGGTACAGGAGATGCTACGCTTCAAGCGGGACGGGACCCTGCCCGACGATCCAACTACAGCTCGACGCTTGCGTCGGACGCAGGCGTGGTACACCGAGGAAGGAGGACGGCTGTACAAGCAGTCTTTCTCGCGCCCCTTGTTGCGCTGCCTGGAGCCGAGCGAAGCCTGGACGGTTCTGTCCGACATGCATGAAGGGGCCTGCGGAGAACACATGGGCGAGCGAGCCCTGGCGCACAAGGTACTCCAACAGGGGTACTACTGGCCGACCATGCGCCAGGACGCGAAAGCTTTCGTGCGGCGGTGCAGCTCGTGCCAGGAGCACGCCCGCACCGCCCGACGGCCGGCGGTCCTATTCACCCCCGTCGACTGCGCCTGACCATTCGCGCAGTGGGGACTGGACATACTCGGGCCTCTTCTGCCCGCCTCCGGCCAGCGGAAGTACATCATCATGGGAGTGGACTACTTTACCAGATGGGTCGAAGCCGAGCCCCTAGCAACCATTACGGAGTCGCAAGTGGAAAGGTTCGTGTGGAGAAACCTCATAACTCGGTTCGGCCTGCCCCAGTCCATCGTCACCGACAATGGACCTCAGTTCGCCGGCAGAAAATTCCAAGAGTTTTGCGCCAAACACAAAATTCAGCTGAGGTTCAGCTCGGTGGCTTACCCCCAGGCAAATGGGCTAGCCGAAGTAACCAACCGGGCCCTCGTCGACGGCCTCAAGAGACGGGTATCCGCTACCCGATCGGCTTGGATCGACGAGCTCCCAAGCGTCTTGTGGGCGCTTCGCACCACCCCCAAGACCCCGACCGGGGAGTCTCCCTATAGCCTCACGTTCGGGACCGAGGCCGTGCTACCACCCGAAGTAGCCGTCCCGACTCCGCGGACGACAGACTACAGCCGAGAAGCCTCGGGCGAAGGGCTCCGATCCAACCTGGACCTGCTCGAGGAAAGACGGGCCAACGCACACCAGAAAGCTCTTTCTTACAAAAGAGCCGTGGCGAGGGTCTACAACCGGAACGTACGACCCCGATCGATAAAGTTAGAGGACCTGGTCCTGCGCAAAATCGAAGTCAGCCACCCAACCCAAGTAAGGGGGAAGCTGGCCCCGAAGTGGGAGGGACCCTATCGGGTCATCGGAGTATCCCGACCGGGGACGTTCCGACTCGCAACAATGGGTGGCGACCCCGTGCCCCGGACTTGGAACATACAAAACCTTAGGAAATATTTCGTCTAAAGACATAGACACTACGCAAACACAGAAAATCGGAGGAAAAGATCATCTTATTAAAAAGGAGGGGATACACACAAAACCCATACACCCAAAACCCTCACACCCTCGACCCCGACATACAAAAAACGACCCTCACTGCTCCTCCGGAGTCTTCGGACGGTCGTCGAACAGCACGTCTTCCGGCATATCCACCTCCAGGTCCACGGGGTGAGAGGCGAACGGGTCCCTTTCCACCTCGGAGCCGGGAGGGCACGAGTCGAAGCGACCCAGGGCGATTCTGTATCCGTACTCGTAGGATACTCGCCCCATTCGGGTCAGTCCGAGCTCAAAGTTCTCGGATTTCTTGTAGGCTTCGATCGCCTCCTGGTCCTTTGACGGGCGGAGGCGAACCTCCTCAGCCAACGCCTCGGAAGCAGCGCAGGCTTCGGCCTCGGCCTTCTCCGCCCTCTTGAGGAGACCAAGCGCCTCCGACTTCGACTAGCGGAGCTCGGCCCGATCCAAACGGAGGAACTCCTAGAGCTCCTTGACCGAATCGCCCGACCGCTCGAGCTCTGCTCGTAGGTGCGCCACCTCTTCCTCGGAATCGGTCGCGCGTTTTTCCGCAGCCGCTACCGCCTCGGGGCCCGACCCAGCCCGGATCTCCTCTAGCTGACGACACAACTCGGAGTTGCGCTCGCTGAAGTCCCAGATTATCTGGCCAGCGTCGCGCACTCGGTCCATCAGCGCCGTCGAATAATGGAGGCCCTGTCACAAGAAAAATAAGGGTCAGCGCACAGTCGCAGGGATGCCCGGAGTTAGCGAAATGCTTACCAATGTCAGAAACCTCCCCGCCTTATTGAGCATGGTCTCCGAGGGCAGGGTATACAGGTCCCGAGCCAGGTCGGGGTGGAGCACGCCTCGAAGAAAGGCGGCCGAGGGATCTCCCTCGGCCCATACCTTGTCCCCTCGGGACAGCCCCTTCCATCGGGCGACCAGCGGGTCGGAAGCCTCCCCTGTTGGAAGCTCGCCCATCACCGCTGCCCATAAGGGCTCGTCGGCCCCCGTGCGTAACCCGCACAGATCATCCACCGTGGGCAGGTCCGCCCTCTTCCCGGCCGCCCCCTGGCTGGGCCCATCAAACCGGGAAGGCCCCTCGTCCCGAGTGGTCCGCTTGGCCCCCACGATTGTTGAAGGAGTGGTCCCCGCCTTGGTTTTCCCAGGACCTGTCGTCCTCGCCTTCTTTGACGGACGTCCCTCGGGGATCTCCAATGGGGCACCCGCCGAACCGGGCAGTGGGTCGGCCGAGGAACACGGAGGGGAAGCAGCGGACTGGCGCGGGGAAGAAGCCGACGAAGAGCGACCACCACGGAGGGACAGGAGCTTCATTCCTACGAAGGAGACAAGCAAAACCATCACAAACTGTGAAAACAAATAAAACGTGGAGAACACCCTCTATAAACATACCCCCGAAAGCCGGGCTAAGACCCGCCTCGGCTAGCCACTCCTCGGTCATAGCTCGGATGGCCTGAGAACCGGGAAGGATTGCCCGAAGCCTCTTCAAATCCCGACGCTCCTTGTCGTTCAAGTCCGGGACTGTGTTGTCTATCACCCTCACCGCCCACCGAACTCCGAAGCCCCAATCCCTCGGCCAGCTAACGTAAAAAAACCGCCCCTTCCACCCTTTATTATTCGAAGGGGCTCCCCCGACGCGAAAGCCAGCCCGGGCTGACACGAAATAGCCCTCCGGCCCCTTGAGAAGGCGGAAACATGAGAGAAAGAGGTTTCGGGTAGGGGTGATGTTGGCATAGTAACACTCCCCTAAGAACGCTACCAGGTACCGCCATGAGTTAGGCGCCACCTGGGAAGGCGAAATCCGCCAGAGAGATAGGCAGGAAACAATGAGGGGGTGAAGGGGAAGGCGCAACCCAACCTCTAGGGCATCTTGGGTCAGCGCAAAACCTCGGGGAATCGGGTCGTATGACCGCTGCCCCGGATCAGGGGCAAACAGGACGAACTCCTCCGGGATGTAATAACGCTCCCGGAGCTTTTCCAGCGACGACCCTCTCACCACCGAGTCGAGGTCGTGCGGCCACATTAGAGCCTCAAGGGCTCGCGCCGCCTCCTCATCCGGGGAAGACGGAGGCATGCTCTCCCGGACTCTGTCAAGGGACGAAGGCGAAGAGACAGGTGAGAAGGACATTCCTTACCGGCTTTTGGAACGAACAAGAGAGACGACGAGGGAGCGACTGTGGGATGGTGGCGTAGGAGAGGAGAAGGTGCGATGGCAAAAAGGAACAACGAGGTTCGAGACCCAGCAGTAGAAATCATAAAACGGGCAGAGTACGCCATTCATGTAAGAAAAAAAAAAAAAAAACCCCGCCGAAAGAGACGTCCCTTCGTCTCCCCCTAGCGGCTGACAGCTCATCCACACACCCACTCGCATCAGGGAAGACCAACAAACACCCCATCATAAATACGGACCCAAATCCGCTGCAGGAAACGACGTGGAAAACGGCCACTACGACTTCTCAACGCCTAAAAAGAACGACGATCTTGCCTCATGTTTCCTGAGATGTGCTCCTCGGCTGCATGTTCCCGAGACGACCTCCTCGGCGCGGCCAGCCCGCCCGAGACGTGCTCCTCGGCCGCGTGCTTCCCGAGACCACCTCCT